TCTCCTCTAAGACTGAGTTATTCAGCAAGCACTTCCCCAGCTGTCCTCAAACCATTCAATCGCTGTCGCTGCCTTCTCTGGCACTCTTCTTCTTACCTCAGTATATGAACGTATTCCTTCCTGCCTCCACCCAGGTTCAGCCCTTGGCCAAGATGGATTACATCACCTCACCAAACACAATGTTCTTTTTTTGCCCTTTATTGCCTGGTCATATCTACCCACACTGTAACTCAAATGTAGCTGCTTCATTTTCTATTAATTGATCAAATCTGTCTCACAGACATGGGGCTGTTTTTTCTATAATTAGTCTAATCTTCCTCATGAACACTCAGCCTAGGAAATAGCCAGAAATTTAAAATTTGCCAAAATAATATCTCAGTCTCTTCCAGTTAATATTCAGACATTAAGTTTAATTCCTTACCAGAGTTGGTTTAAATAGATGCTTTCAGGTAAATTTTTCTCCAGATGGGACTTAAGGGATATCCTAATGGTGGCAAGAAGACCTAGGATCCTGGTGTCTCTATGGATCATCACTGATCTCTGGGGCAAAGAGGCGATCATGTCCCATGGCTGGACTGGTGCCATGTCACCTCTGGGATGTCATGCCTACTCCCAGTGCTGTATCCATGATCCTGACCTACAGTCTGGAGTTGTACGATGCCTGCTGTGCCACTAGGTCCCTCAGCTCCTCCACAGCCCTCCCAGTGGTATGAGAGCATTTCAGACTCCCCTGCTACCACAGGCTCATCTGTCTAGCTACTTCCTTCTACCACTGCTGTGCTATATCCCCATGTTGGCACAGCACCAACCCACACAGCTATCCCCTCTCAAGATTCCAAATACAGAGCACAGCCAAAGACCTTCTACTTTTGACTCTCCCCTCAACCTATTTAACACATTCACCCCAACTCCAGAACTTGGGCCAGACAAGGAAGCTCAAAACGTGTATTTCAGGGGCACCTGGCTGGCTTAGTCAGTGGGGTATGTAACTCTTGATCTCAAGGTTTTGAGTTCTAGCCCCACACTGGGGATAGACATTACTTTTTAAAAAAAAGATTTTTCAAAAAAACCCCAAAAACATGTATTTCTCATACTGTTTTCCCTACCTCTGTCCCCTTTCTTCCCATAATTCACCAGGGCTTTCTCAGGGCTGGAAAAGATGGACTTTCCATTTCCAATTCATCTTCCTTCCTCGTGGGAGGCACTAAGCCTCAAGCTCAGCCTCAATGAAGGAAGAGATATCATATTCTCTTTACCCCATAGAAGAAACTATCATTAGAGTATGTCAGAGAAAGTTCTTGATATGGAAACTACAGGCAGCTTGGAACTTTAGAAAACAAAAACAAACATATGGTGACTTACAATTTCCTTAAAGACTATCCCTTCACAACTTCAACAGTCAGCATCTCCTGTGTGCTAGGCTCCAAGGATATAAGGTTAGAGAACTAGGTCACTAATGTGGGGAGACCTACAAACAATAATTACAATGGAATTTTATATGCTGCATTTACCAAAACAGAAAACACAAGTAACCCGTTTGTCAATCTTTTCCAGGTCTGTCAAATTAAAGCAGTGAGCAACTGCAGAAAAAGGATGATATAAATTATTTCAGGTCACAACTTTGTATCATTTAATCTTTCCCCAATTTACATACTTCATTTTTTCTACTCACAAGATGAAAAACCCTTCCTTACTGAGAGGAAAAAAGGAAGAGAAGCCATGAAGCGGATTCAAGTTTTTCTATTAATAAAAATAAATATGCGAGAACTAAAGAACTTTTCAAATAGCCCAAGACCAAAGAAAATCAGGTAGAATGAAGTAATAAATTATAATAAGTCTATTATTTTATGTTGCCACCCCCCCAGAACTGTTACTGTTACAAAGGAATATTTTCATTTATTTAATTCAAGTGGAAGGGCACCTGGGTGGCTCAGTTGGTTAAGCGACTGCCTTCGGCTCAGGTCATGATCCTGGAGTCCCTGGATCAAGTCCCGCAACAGGCTCCCTGCTCAGCGAGGAGCCTGCTTCTCCCTCTAACCCTCCCCACTCTCATGTACTCTCTCTCTCTCTCTCATTCTCGCTCTCTCAATTTTATTCAAGTGGAAGACAGCAGAAAAGCAAGAACAGCTAGAGGAAAATTCAGCCAGATGTTCTTCACACAAACTAAAAGCTTACTATGTGTCAGGCACTGGGGCTACAAAAATTGACAGATGTAATACCTACTCTCAAGGACTTCACAATTGATGATGAACAAACTTTACTTATAAGGTGATAAAGAACACAGAAACTTTATCCCATTGATGGTCATTCAAATTGTGGTAGAAAACTGCATGAACAGGGGCGCCTGGGTGGTTCAGTCATTAAGTGTCTGCCTTCGGCTCAGGTCATGATCTTGGGGTCCTGGGATCAAGCCCCGCGTCGGGCTCTCTGCTCGGCGGAGAGCCTGCTTCTCCCTCTCCCACTCCCCTTGCTTGTGTTCCCTCTCTCACTGTGTCTCTCTCTGTCAAATAAATAAAATCTTTAAAAAAAAAAAGAGAAAACTGCATGAAACAACGCACCAAAGTTTGATTTCTCTAACACTGTTTTCAGGCTGTGCTGATTCCCAACTATGCACTGCAGAAATACTACAACCACTGAAGTGGAAGTGTTCAACAGAGCACCTACCACCACAGCACATATCAGCTATATCCTAGCAATCCGAAGTAAATAAGTGTAAATGTATTTTTTGTGTAAAGCACTACCGAGTGTGTGTCCGTATGAAAACTCCTTTTGTTTTTGTTTGGATGCTTGGCATTTACTGATATCCCTTTTCTTATTTTATGTTTGCTAATTTCCCCACTATTATGAATACTGGTAGGAACAGAACCTGCCTCCTTTCCTAAAAGCCAAGAAGTCCTAATAGTCACCTTCTCAAATTCCCTTGCAGCTAGGATTCAGGCAGTGACCTCATCTCAGCCAATCCAAGATACCACTAAGGATTTTTGAATCAGAAGCTAATTCCACAAAGAAGCATGGATGAGAAAGCAGCTTTCCAGCAATAGCGTTTCCCAACAGCAGTGGCAAGAGTAGCAGCAGCAGGGCCCAGGATCATGGTGCTGGTAATACATGCCGGAGCAGCAAGCACTATCAGGCAGCATCACAAGTGATGTACTCCCCAGGTACCAACCCCAACTACTTCTGAAGTGTAATTCTGACTATGGAACTCTCCTTGGTTCCTGCCCACTTTCAGAACTGGGGTTCCTCCAGACCTCAGAGCAATGCTAAGATCTCCTCAATGCTCTTGCATGAAGTTCCTTTTGTGCTTAAAGCATTACTAACGAGTAATCTCTTGCTAATAAGATATATGAGTGATAGCCAACAGTAATGAAATAGTATGGTAAAGGAAGAAGCATCTCACCCATGAACGGCTGGGTCTGTGTAGTCTACTTTGGAAAACAGACAATTCTGTGTCACATGACTCAAGTTCAGCTCTGAAAATTCAGTGAATAATTTGTCATCATGTATTAATCCCAAAACTTTTCCATCCCAACTACTAAATAACTTTGCCAGTCTGATTTCATCTGGAAGACGAACCACACCTTTTCTCTTCATCAACTAGTATTATAGGATAGCAAGTTCTCCAACTCCAACTCAAGATACACCCCTAGATGATTTAACAGGATGAAAAGCCCAGGTCTCTAATTTGCTTGAATAAGAATCAAAGATCTATAAATTTCAATGTGGGGGCCTTCAGCAAATAGTTGAGTCTTGAAAGGAATTAACTGTTTCCAAAACTTTTTTAGTTTTGAAGTTTACAAAAACTTCAAAGTGCTCTCTCAACTAATTTTTTGTTGTTGCTCTTATGATAACATCAGGAAGCTACAGATACAACTATTATTGTTTAGTAACTTTAAAATACAAAGTTAAATAAAGTCCTCAATTACGAATCAAATAAGGAATTGGTTAAGATTAATGGTCAAGCTACCGATTTGAATTCTACAACTACTTCCTCACCTTCCTCCACCCAAATCCCAGGCAGAGAGATCTGAAGGGCAGTCCTGGGAAAAAAAAAAAATCATCCCACCCATCTCAAACAGAGCTCTCCTCTTTGGCAGATAACAGGAGCTCAGTAACATTAGTTGCTCGACTACAATTCCTATGACTACACATATATTACATATTTCCATAAATTGCTTTAACATAGCACTTTACATTGACCCAGTGCTTCCAGGCTTATGAAACACTTTCATGTGAATTCTCGCATCCCGATAGGTGGTTAAGTCTTAGACTTGCCTGCACAGCCATTAAATGCAAAGCACATCACAAAACCTCAGTAACTTATGCTCCCATAGCACTGTACTGCATCTCTATTTCAGCCCTTCTGATTCGCTGTAATTAATTCTCGCTCTCACTGATATGCTCCATAAGGATTCTTAAGGATGCCCCGTTCATCTTCGTAGCTCCAGGCAGAACACAACCTGGACCCTGGAAAGTGTTCAGTAAACACCGAGATTCTTCCGCCTCCCGCCAGCCAGGTCCTCTCCTGGCGGGGCCTGAGTACAGAGCCCGGTTTGCACACATCCCTGCATTACACCGTCCCCAACCCCCAGCCAGTTGTCACTTCCAGGGCCGCACCGATGAAGCGTGCCGCCCGGGACACAGACTTTTCGTTCCCCGGTAAAACTACCCGCAGCACAACGCTGCCCCTTAGCTCTGCCCCACGGGCTCGCTCCCATTCCTACGGCAGCCCAGGGGGACGGGCGGGGGTTCTAGCGGGTCCACCTCTGCCCCACGCAGCGGCGGGGCCTGAGCCTGGGACGCCCCCAACCCCCGGGACCCAGCTCCCTGCCAGCCGCGACGCGCCCCGGGAACCGCGCTACGGGGCTGTGTACCCGGCAGCGCCCCCAAACGTGCGCACCCAAGGCCGGGCGGAGTCCCGCGGCGGGCGGCCCAACGACATCCCCCGCGCTCCGAACCCGCGCCGCCCGGGACTCGGGTGGGCGAGGGCGCTCCGCACGTACCCAAGGAGGCAGCGGTCACAGACGACGCCACGACTCCCCTTGCACACCGTGTACGCCAAGGGATCCGAGCGGAAGAGCAGCTCTCCCGGGCGCAGCTGAGCCAAGGCGCGCAGCCCGTTTCCCCTGTTGGCGGTGCTGAACTTTTCCACCTTCGGCGGCTCCATCACCTCAGGTCCGTACCTCAGCGGTCCGCCGCGTCCTGCAGCTGGTGTCTCGCGTGCCACCGGGAGCCGCGCGCCTGCGCCTTGCGCGCACGCGTACGCCTAAGGGGCGGGGCAGGCGCGCGGGGCTTCTGAGCATGCCCAGACGGGGTCCGGCGGCGAGGCGGGCCCGAGCGGCGCACGGAACCCGGCTGTGCGTCTGACCCGGGGCTGGCCACCGCCAGTTCCCTAGCCGCTCTGCGAGGAGTGGCGGTGTTACACGCACTGCGCCGCGTTCACTTGTGATAGTTTGTATGTCGATTGGTGAGGGAACAGGGCGGTGAATACCTGTATACCCTACTCCAAGAGCAGACAGTTCTTAGCATTTCGCCATTTCTGCTCATTTTCTCTGCCCCGGTATGTAGGTATTGTTGTTGAATCCCTTGAAACTAAGTTGTGTTATTGAATCATTTAAAAGTAAGCTGCAGACATCATGAAATCTCATAACTCATTTCATAATTAAATACTGTCCCATGTGATGAGGGAGCAGAAAGCTGAGGACAAAGCACAGACTGACACCCCGCAACACCGCCCCCGCCCCACTCCTGTGTGGGACGTGTGTGACATTCCTCCAGCAAGCTCCCCACTGTCTTCATGTTAATGCCTCGCTAGACGAAAAAACAACCTTGACAATAGCAAGGCCTCCAGTGTCCTGAGGGAGACACCTCCCTTTTTCTTACCTCCCCTAATTCCCAAGTATACAATCAGCCATTTCTCACAACCCCAGTGCAGCAACTCTTTCTGCCCACAGGTCCCATCCCTGTGCTTTAATAAAATCATGTTTTTTGCACTAAAGATGTCTCAAAAATTCGTTCTTGGCGTCGGCTCCAGACTTAAACAACATTCCAAAACTCCATCCCATGTAGTTCCTCAGAAGAAAAAGAATATCCTATAGAACTACAATATCAGGGGCACGGGGGGTTGACTCAGTAGGTTGAGCGTCTGACTCTTGGTTTCGGCTCAGACTGGGATGTTTGGGTCAAGAGATTGAGCCCTACTACTGGTTCCCCGCTCAACAGGGAGTCTGCTTCTCTCCCTTCTCCCTTTGCCCCCCCAATAAAAAAAATCTTAAAAAAAAAACTACAATATTGTTATTGATGTGGGAAACAAAGGCAGAAGAAAATTATTAAATTTCCTTACTACTACAGCCCATTGACAAGTCCTTGAAACAGAATGACATTCCTCTAGGGACTCAGGTGCCTCGATGTTAATACTTGGCAAAGGGCAGAAGGCAATCTTAGCCCAACCCTCCAGGATCCTGTAAGTCTACTTTAACATATAAAAATTCCTTTGGGGGGGCGCCTGGGTGGCTCAGTCGTTAAGCGTCTGCCTTCAGCTCAGGTTATGGTCCCAGGTTCCTGGGATCGAGCCCCGCATCGGGCTCCCTGCTCAATGGGAAGCCTGCTTCTCCTTCTCCCACTCCCCCTGCTTATGTTCCCTCTCTTGCTGTGTCTCTCTCTGTCAAATAAATAAATAAAATCTTTAAAAAAAAAATTCCTTTGGAAACTTCCATTATCTCTACTCCCCAAAATACACTTTGGCAATCATTCCCCAAGCATATTACCCACCTGATGTGGTTTTGGAATATAGGTGAGGTTTGGTGGTGTGAGGTCCAGAGCCGATGACCAAGAAAATTCTTGAGACGTCTTTGATGCATAAGGGTGGTTTTACTAAAGAACGGGGAAAGGACCAGTGGGCAGAAGGAGCTGCTGAGAGGTGACTGATTATATACTTGGGAGTTGGGGGAGGTAAGGAAAAAGGAGGTTTTCAAAAGAACTTTCATATGCTAAAGAGGACCTACGAGGTACCGGATGCCTTTCCATTGTCAAGTTAAGGTTGTTTTCTCCTCTAGCAAGGCATTAACATTAAGAAACTTCCTGGGCGCCTGGGTGGCTCAGCTGGTTGAGCGACTGCCTTGGGCGCAAGTCATGATCCCAGGGTCCTGAGATAGAGCCCCTGCATCGGACTCCCTGCTCAATAGGGGGCCTGTTTCTCCCTCTCTGCCGCTCTCCTGCTCTCTCTCTGCCAAATAAATAAATAAAATCTTAAAAAAAAAATTCTAATGGGTTAAAAATTTAAAAAAAATTAAGAAACTTTCAAGTTGGAAATTTCCTGGAGGATTGTCACACATATCCCACCCTGGTGTAGCGAGGGGAGGTTGCAGGAGGTCAGCTTGTGCTTTGTCCTCAGTTTGCCTTCTGCTCCCTCATCATACGGCTATACATCCCCACTGATATACACCAAGACAAGGGGCTCATGACTAAGGTTTTATTAAGTAGCTTCCTGGAAGAGTATCACACAGATCCCACCCCGGGAGGGGGGGACGGTTTGCAGGGTGCCAGCTTATGCTTTGTCTTCAGCTAGCTTTCTTATCCCTCATCATTTCCCTCCCTGAACAATTTTGATCCTTAAATCTTTAAGGTTGTTGAAGGGAAGGTCTCATTTTCTGTAACGTCTTCCTGCTGAATAGGGGCGTAGAGATGTCCCTACCTATGGGTCAATATTGGTCAGCTGAAGAACATACAGGGGACGTATGAAAGGGGGAGGCAGCTAAATCCAACGCAGACAGCATATATGGACCTCCTTGAGTAGAAAGGATCAGCTGTCAGCTAGCTGCAAGTTATGGTAGTGAAGGAGTCTTGGCACCAGGCAGGGAGACACCGGAAATGACAACAAAAGAAGGTTAATATTATGATGAGAAAGAGAAGCCTGAATAAAAGAACTTTGATAGTTGACCTTTGATAATTTTCCTCTAGTCTAGGAGTTTATTTTTTTATTTTTTTAAAGATGTATTTATTTATTTTGAGAGAGTGAGAATGAGAGAGAGAGAGAGAGAGAGCACATGAGAAGGGGGAGGGCCAGAGGGAGAGGCAGGCTCCTTGCTGAGCAAGGAACCTGATGTGGGACTAGATCCCGGGACTCTAGGATCATGACCTGAGCCGAAGGCAGTCGCTTAACCAACTGAGCCACCCAAGCGCCCTAGTCTAGAAGTTTAAAGCAATCACTTAAGGAAAGAGATCATTGAAAGTGCCAATTTGAGTATTCATGTCAGGTAGAAACCCAGAAGTATTCTGTGGTTATCTGGAATGTATACACAGAATTCTGTTTTTATGCCAACACAAGTTTCATCTTGTATAGCAGTTAAAACATCTAATGCCATTCTATTTTGTAAAGCTTCTTCACACATTTGTATTACTTTAGTATTTAATAGAGAAATGTTATTTTGAGTGTCATTTAGGGCTTTGACCATGTACTTATTAAGAGCTTCCATGTGCCAAAGAATATTCTCCAGTCTCAAAGAAGAAACAAAGATGGATGCTAGGTGGTCGTACCAATGAGACACAGAACATGTTCAACATTGTTTTAAATTTGGAAGGCTGGAAAGGTTGGTAATGGTTTCAATAATGTATCCATGCACCCAGGCAAAACCCAGAGTACAGCAGCCTATCCAGCCTGGGGGAAGCCATGGCCACAAGTTAGAGCCACAGAGCCTTTGGGTCCAGTAGGAGCCAGTCATATAATTGACTGCCATGTCATACTTAAAGGTGGTCACTGTACGCTTGGCTAAACCTCTTCTTGTAATTTTACATTAATAGAGGTAGTTCCTGGGACAAATATGACTAAGGAATAAAACCATCAAGAAGCCCTCTTTGTTTGAGGTCCAGCCTTAACAATATCCTAGTTTTACGGAATCAGTGGCAATTGAGAGACTTGTCAAGAGATAAGGGCATCCCCAAGTACATTATCCAATCCAATCATAAAGAAAGTGGGGCCATCCATTATGTCCACAAGTCCATAGTTAACCCCATAGAGTGGGGTACATTCAGTGGCTTTTAAGGAGTGATTTTGTGATACCAGCCACACAGAACTGGTCAAGGTGATAGTTGAGTTACAGTTGTTGGAGAATTAATCCTAATTAATCACATGCGCACGGGGTCCTGTTATTATCACCACAGAGTAACAAGCAAAAAGATTGTCTATACATAAGCTATTGTGGCAATTTCTCTGAAGTTTACCTCAAGTTGTGTAGCTTAGGCAAACATTTAAGGATTACCAAAACTAGGATTTAACATCCGCAAAGATGTGTTATTGAAACATAATTCCTCTCTCTAAAATAGCCATCATTTCCAGAGATAACCAAATCAAGACTAATTTGTTTGCAAAACAAGTCCAATTTTAACAAACTTGGCCTAATTATTCATATAAGCTCAGCAAGAATGACTGATCATTTAGATCTTTTAGAATCTGCTTTACTGGAACTTTTATAAGGAATCTCTAGGTTGAACTTTTAGTAGCTTCTCCAGGCCAGAAGCCAAGCCAAGTGTTTGCCATCAGACATGCCTGCAATACCTGTAGATTTGGGCAAATTCCAACTCATGCGGTCCCCAATACATCCTGAGATTCCTGCACTTGCCAGGAAGTGACATTTTTTACTCACCTGTTAAGGCTGCTGGGAACTCTGCAAGCAAAGTATCAGGCCAACATTTCGAACGGGCTTTATGGCTCCAGGTTTCATAAAGTCAGCCTTAGTTCCTTAAAGCTGTTTGGTCATATCTGAGTCTCTGCATGTCTCTCTCAAATATGATATTCCAGTCAAAGCCTTGGTAAAATAACCAATGTTTCCAATGGTGTCCTGTTACAAGGAGTGATTGCCATTGAAGAAAGAATACTTACTGATAGAGCTTTTGAATTTCAAAGGATTTAGGTAGAGAGAAAAGGTAAATACTTCAATTTGTTTTATTATTTCTGTATATCAGTGATGTCTTAAGAGAAGGTTTTCTTAGTCTGGAAGAACCAGCAATGTTTCAACCAAGAGTTACAAAAAAACTATAATCATTTTTCCCAATTCACTTAGGCCCATGTTACTATTCTTGTTTAGTTTGAATGCAGCTTTAGTTAGTTCTGGAAATTCTTACCTGTTTCAGTTTTATTTATTTATTTTTAAAGATTTTATTTATTTATTTGAGAGAGAGAGAGAATGAGAGATAGAAAGCACGAGAGGGAAGAGGGTCA